TTCATAAGAAGTACAAATAAATAATGGGAAACATGAAACAAATCAGGTTTTTATTTAAGTGTAATTCTGTAATAGGGATGATAGAGGGAGCTATATATTTTCACTTGTAGTTTACTGTGTAAATGAAGCAATTTATGTAGATACTCTCACTTAAAAAATCAGTTCACACTGTCACATGGGGTTTCAAAAGACATTTGTGTAAATAGGCATCAAGTTACTCTATAGCAGAATCTCTATTCTCTTATTTCAATTAACAATTCTAGCGTGCCACCCCTAAATATGCATATAGTAATACTTTCCAGTATTTGAAAACTATAAACAGAAACATGTAAAAAACAGGGACACAGTTTTTAATTCCATTTAAACTAGCCTGGCTTTATATAGTGTTTATATAATTCCTCAACAATGTTTGCACTGAAGCATGGAAAGTTACAGGTAAGTGCATGAAACAAGGGGAGACGTAGCTAAAAGTTAAGTTTTTTTCTCCAGTTCAATTTCTCATCTTCAAGAGATGAAATGATCATGCTTGCTATAAGAGAAAAAATGTGTTGCTTTAATTTATGAGTTAGCCCTTACCCTCCCCACAAATATTTAGGAACACTGTGGTATCTCACCCTATATGTTTAAGGGCATAGGATGCTTGGGTGCACCACTAACAAGGACAAAGTAATAGTGCATATTATCTAATGGAAGTCATATGCTTTTAGCATGATGAGAACATGTGACATGCAAGATCTGCAGTCTAATTGAACTGGGACACCTGAAATGACACACACACTCATTCAGAACTACTGGTGATCATGAGGCACTGAGTAGGACACCCAGATTTGGGGCCTTTCTGGAGACAATTATGGAACAACTGCCCATTTAACCTGCAGTCATGGAATGTGGTACATTTACTTTATTTTGAAGTTCCAAATATGAGCTTTATCATAGGATACCAAAAGGACACCAGCTTAACAAAAAAACAACCCCAAAACAGAATGAAACACATGCTCCACACATTACTATGCCACCCATGTTTTGCAAGGTGGTTAGTTTTGAGAAATTATGGTAATTTTAAGATGTCAGTTTTATTGTTGACTGTCAAAGCCAAATGCATGCACTACAAGGCACCAGGGCCAGTGGCAATGTTAATCTTCAGCGGAGCACACAGCAAGTATGTTAGGTGGATTAGTACTCTGTCTAGTCTCCAGTTTGAGCCATTTTGCTTCCAGTAAAATAGAACTAAAATTAAAGATGACCAAAAGAAGTGCAAACAAGATGATTAGGGAATAAAAAAGGGGTTATATAAACTAGGATTATTGTATAGAGAAGTATTTTCATCAGAGATGCTGGCCATATTTACAGCTCAAATATAAAATTAGACTCAGCTAGTCTGGAGTTCTAATTGTATATTATTCCCACCACTAACTCTGGGAAAATTTCATCTTCGATACAGTAGCCAATTCTAACATTAACATATGGAAAAGCGTATGAACTAAACTACACAAACACTGAACGATGTACACAAGTTTATGAAACAGTAATGACAAAACAGGCACAAATATTATAAAGTTAATTACTGATTTTATAATCAGTTCAATCCAGCACTACACAAAGCCTAAAATATATTGAGAGGAAGTCACAAAATATAAAATGGTTGAAATGACTCTGACCTATGAAAAATGTACTGCAGTAGCGGAGAAGGACTAGAAGGTAATCCCAGAATATACTGCCGGAGGCCCCAACACCTTAGCTGTTTCCTTGTTTATGGAAGGGGTAGGACCACCAAAGAGGTAAACTGAGGCAGGGCTGGAGGGGAAGCTAAAAAGTTCATTCCAGCCTTACCTCCTAACCCCATCTAGATAGACAATTCTAAGACCACAAAGAACTCAGGAAAACACCCTGTATCCTGGTGAAATTTGTTGAAAATACTATAGTGCAAGGGACTGTAAAACATCAGCGATGGCAGAGTATAGACCTAGGCCTGGAGTGGGCAAAATACGGCCCGTGGGCCGGATACGGCCTGGCAGGTCATTCTATCTAGCCCACAGGGCCCCTAAAAAAATTTAAAAAATTAATATTAATCTGCCCTTGACTGCCTGTCAAAGATGACAGGAGCCAATGGCAGCAGGACCCAGGGGGAGCCGCCTGCAGAACCAAGCCGCTGTAGAAGCAAGGCTGACCTGGCCCCGCCCCTCCCAGCCCACGCCTGGCAGAGGGTTCTGGTCTGGGTCCCTGGGGCTGTTCCTACCTCCCTGCGCAAAAGGGAAATTCAGATAAGGAGGAGGGGAAAAGGGAAGGGAGGATGGCGGGCAATTGCCCCAGTCCTCAGGGTCAGGCTAAGTTGGCTGCTGCGGTCCCAGTGCTACAGCCGGGAACCACATGGTGATAGAGCGGCCAGCGGGAGATGGAGGGAAGTAGCAGTGAGGAAGGAGGGAAGCTGTGAAAGTGGCAGCAGGTGGGCAGGAGTGGCAGCAAGCACGTGCATGGCGCGCAGCAACAGCTAGGCAAGAGCACAAGGCCTGCACTGGTGTCCCAGAGCCAGTGCCAGCAGGGCCCCGAGTGGGGCAGCAAATATGGTTTGCATATTTATTTCAGGTTTCTTATTCCATAAAAACAAAGAGTTTCCAATTCTGAAAATGGACGCAGATTGGCTAACATTTGTGCCCATGAAGACCTGACTACTGAATCATGGCTTCAGACTGGAACTAAACTTGCTTAGGAAAACTGTGTAACTGAGTAAAAAAAAATTTAAAAAAACTGAATATACAAGTCTAAGAGACAACTGTGAAGCAGGATACCCTCCTTAACTACTGACATGAAAGTAGGAGAGATTTATTCAAGAGTAATCAAACTAAGATAAATTATATTAAACAAATTAATATAAATAAAACCTACTTGACACAAGAGCTCATAATAGAGTTTCTTAAAGTGACAGAAATCATGTTTCTTTGGATATTTAAACTATATTAGGTTAAGCACTAATAAATATAGTCAGGAATTAAATAGGTCTCATTCCAGTGAGTGATAGGACAGAAAAACAAAATCCCATCTATGTTTTAATAAATGTTTAGTCCCAATAAAGCTTAAATGTAAGCAATTGGGCTATTATATAGATCCTCATTATTGCTAAGTATTTCAGAAACCTGGTGTTCTTTTTAAAAAAAGAAATTACAGATCTGGAACTTTTTTTCTTTTTCCTATTCTAATCTCTTTCCCAATTAAAAAATCCAGCAGTGTGGGCCCAAGCTTTTCTATAACTACAGTACCTCAGCACTCACGATACAAGGAAGCACTGCCCATCTTTATCACGACTTGACAAACGTGAGTCAAGCATTGCCAGGTTAAAGCGCATGCTGGCGTTCTTCCATGGGATTTCAACCCATCCTACTTGTAGTTTAACTGGGCACAAATCCAACAACTTCCCCTTCAAAAGCAAGCAATGATGAAAGCTACTCAGCCCCTTGAGGACAGTGTGCTTACAAGTGGAGGAAAAAACATCCTTGTCAGAGAGACAGTTTGACAGGAGTCAAGTTGGGGACAAGTCCGCAGGGCCTGTCCATCTCATCCTGGCCTTTCTGATTTCAACATCTGCCAGTGGGATACTTCCCCCTTTCCCCTCTTTAAGGCCATATAATGACCACTGACAGATCTACAAAATGACCCTTAGCAACAAATACCATTGTCTTTTCCCAATTTATTGTCTCCGAAATCACAGAAAATCATTTCAGCCATTAGCTTCCACCAGCTAGTTACTTTGACAGCTTAATTCTTCTAAACCAGTGGGTCCACCTCATCTGCTTCAATGGGCTAGTCTGTGGGTTAGGTCCAAAGTGTGGAGCTGCGTCATCTGGGCCATGGGGCTGAAATCTGGTCATGACAGAACTGATTGTTGTGGTTTGCAGAGATGCAGCTGTTACCACTCCTCCCACCACCAAAATTCTGGCCTTACACACAGCCGTATGCACAGCTCTAGAAGCCAGATGACTTGGCTCCGGATCCTAGATCTGGCCTATGGGGCTTCCCTTGTATCCAGAAATTTGGTGAGATGGTAAGCAGGGGCAGTGTTAATTGCCATGGCTCTAGGAACTATAGCAATTAATGCGGTCAGTGCTCTCCACACTACCAAATTTCCAGATGGAAGGGGAGGTTTGAGGACCTGATGACAAGGGTCCATGGGATGTATCCTGGGCAACAAAAATGGTTAGGGGGCTCGGGCAATGACTTACAAGGAGAGGCTCAGGGGTCTGGGCTTATTTAGTCTGGAAAAAAAGACGACAGAGGGGATTTAATAGCAGCCTGCAACTATTTGAAGAGTGGTTACAAAGGGGATGGAGCTCAATTGTTCTCAGTGGTGGCAGATAACACTACAAGGAGAAACAGTCTCAAGTCACAGCAAGGGAAGTTTAGGTTGGATACTAGGAAAAACTTTCTTAAGAGAAGAGTAGTAAAGCACTGGAACAAACTACCCAGCAAGGTTGTGGAATCTCCATCCTTACAGTTTTTTAAGACCTGGGTAGATAAAACCTTGGCTGGGATGATCTAGTTGGGGATGGTCTTGCTTTGAGCAGGGGGCTAGACTAGATGACCTCTTGAGGTCCCTTCCAATCCTAATTTTTTCTATGATTCTATGATTTTATGATCAACCTCTCTACCCATCACTATTGTAAACAATTACTAAACACTGTAATTAAGTGAGCATT